AAGATGTAAATTCAGCACATGCATTATAGTCACATGTGATGTGATTACTTGAGGTCTGTAACATCTAAGGGACAAAGTAAACTTCAGCCTCCATTTGTAGGAAAATCAGGTTTTTGGAGTCAAAGGTCACAGAGATTTTTGTCTGAGACCTCGTGCAAGCTCGGTGTTAACTTACCTGATTGCAGAAGTTGGGACGATAAATCTCTGCTCAGGTAGGAGCCCGTGAGGCGCTGAGTCTGAGGAGGACTGCAGCGGGGGCGGTGGGGATGCACTCAGAGCATGGCCCTGAAGAACGGACAGAGACAAGAGGCTGTCTGGTGCTCTCAAGGGCCAGCCTGAACAGGGGGCCTTGATACACATTTCCCCAAAATCTTAATGTATCATTCTAATAACTGAATTGTACTATCGTGGGACCCTTGTGATGAGGTTTCATCCTGGGTCTTTTCTCAGCCAGGAGTGATGCTGCTTGAGATTTATTTTTATTGCTACAATTTATCAAGGGGTATTCCAGTTTATCCAGTGTGCATGACACAAGGCGAGGTAGATTAAGATCAGAATTTTATGACTGTTAATACCAAACAATTAGGCAAGAAAACGTGGACTACACCTCTGAGAAAACATCAGTCATTTTAACTACACACAAGTTTATTGTTGATGAATTTTTTTGCATACACTCACAGCATTGCAAAAATCCTTTAATCAGAAACTGATATTTTTTATCATGTTTCATTTTCAGTGTCTAGTTTTTTTAAAAGATTTTTCTTGATTTTTTTTTTTTAAACTTTCTTTGTGTCTTAAGTTTTAATCCTGTTCCTTACTACTATTTTTCGTGCCTGTTTTAGGAGAATTTTCCCTATCTCTGCACCTACCAATGCCATTTCCTGCTTTGAAAGTGAAAAAATAACAGCTATCTACTCTTTGAATACAACTTCATTAGTGGCTGTAGCTGCTTTTGAGCACATATCTTATGGTGGTACCATAATTCTTTACTTGCTGTGAAGAAACTAATGTAGGACTTTGCCTTGGTCAAAATACATAGCATCTACTGTTTATTTCTCATCTAGTAAGGACTTTACACTGTCAGTGACCTAACATGTTTTTGAAAAATCAAAATTTTAGTAACCTTTAGCTTTTAAGGATTCAGAAGTGGACAGTGTATTACAATTGTTCAATCTAGACACTAGATCTAGAAAGATTAAAATACAGAAAATTTCAGGTTTTCACCTTTTCTGAAAAACGTAGATCTTCCCCTTGCTGTAGTCTTCTGAGGCTTCTCTGCCTTATGTGATATTTTTAAAAATAACAGCCTATGTTTTAAAGGTTACTTGAATGAATATTTTTCCAGGTATAACTACACCCCTTTAAACGTCATGCAGAAAGTCCAATACTTTTGATAACTCTTGCCACTTAGATACTAGATACTATAAAGAGTTAGAGATAGAGAAAAAAGAGAAGTACCAGAGCAAAAAATTTGCCATAATATTATAATATTTACACATGAATATAGCTCACAGTGCTGAGGAACTAGGAGTTGTTCTTTAGTTTGGTGAGGCTTTTTTGTTTTCTACAAACAAACACAGTTCACCCACATGAAAACTCAGTAATTCCTTAAGCATTCTGTGCTGAATTTCATCAGGACTCTAACCTGAACTGTCTGACCTAATGTAAATATTTCTCTTCCTGGGTTTTTTTTCCTGTACTTTGCCCTGTAGTCTTATCTTCATGTCAAAACTAATTTTGGGCATGTTCGCAGAGCTTATTGCAGGCAGACTTGAACTTTGTTCCCACGGGGAGCCAGCTGGCTGGAAGCCAGCTCTGGCTACGTCGCAGTGCTTGAGCTGATGAGATGTACTTCTCAGCAGGTCCCATGAAATGCATCCGAGCACCACGCAGGCAGGGTCACAGCTTGCAGTTCAGAGCCAGCTTGTGCCTGCCCAGTTTGGAGCACCAGTGAGGAGAGCTCGTGCCTGCTTGTCATCTTTCTCTGGGCCGAAAGACCTTTATGTGACCACAGTCTCCCTCCTTCTGGAGACTGAAACAGGAAGGCACTTAATAATCTCCTGTATTTATCTGTACTAACTGTTATTTGAACCCCTTTCTCATATCATAATGTTTGCCTTTTGCTGGGGTTTCTTTTTGGCTTAACTTACAACACATTATTGAAACCTTTTATTATGACTTATCGTGCGCTTTGCTAATTAAGACTCATGTTCTGTTTTAACGTTTCTGCTTTTATCTCCAGAGGCACCGTGGCACAGGGAGGCTTAAACTCATCCTTCATAGCATATGCATGAATTCGTGCTTATCCCATGATCTCTTTTTCATGCTCAGTTGATTGGAGATTGCCAGTGTGCCTACACTACCCTATCACTACAGTTTCTCTCTAAAGGTACTTGGACGTTTAGTACGGTCTCTTTCAATAACTGCCATCTCCCTTCCATCTCTTCGTGTCTCGGTTTACTTTCCCAAGAGACCTCCCTCTGCCTGTTCTCTGAGCCTGCTGGCCCTCATGCTGCTGCGCTCATCTTTGCAGAACACCAGTCTCATCCTGCAGTCGCTTTCACTCCAAGTACTAACACATGCAAAGTCTTGGGCAGGTATTGTCTAATGGAACAGAATCTATTTTATCTGTTCCCTTGAAATCTTCATTCGGCTTTGGAAAGGAAAAAGTGTCCTCGATGCATTTTCACACTTCTCAGCACTGGTCTGAACCGAGTCCCTGTTGGAAGCAGGTCCCGCCATTGGGACACACCTTTCATCCTTCAGAAAAGAAAAGCCTTGGCCACCTCTGCCTCCTAGTGAGCTAAAGTGACATTTCACAACGTTGAAGATCCTGCCCCCTTCCTATATTCTGTTTAACGCCCACATGCCCTCCACCACCGATGTGCAAGTCCCAGTAAAAGTTCAATGTGTTATTCTAACTAAATACTGAAAACAGATGTGTCCTTGAATGATATAATATCTCTGAGACCCTCTCAGAACTATTTCTTGGCAGTATCCTTGCTGGCCGGGGGTAGCTTTTCATGCATGGAGGTACAGAGTACCTCCTCTTACATCATAAACATATAGTCGTGAATATATAGTATTTCCTCAGAGCCTGATGTGAAATGAATGCCAAAAGCAATTTTGGGATTTTATTTTTTTAATCTCAGCTGGGATGGGGGTACATGTACTTTGTGAAGAGAAATCCTAAGTATATGTGAGGAGTTTTAATTTGGAGTTTGCTGCACGTATAACCACAGTTGGAAAAATCTCTGTCTCTTTACTTGTGAAAGGGCTCATCCCCTGCACCTTTCTCCAGCCATCCTCCACTGTAACTGCTGCTCCTCCCTAAACAAAATCTGAGCCCCAGCCAGTTTCAGCTCAGGACCTGCCTGAGCAGATATGGGTTTTATGTATTTAGTAACCCTCGCTGCATCCTTTTTTTTCCAGAAGCTCAGCTTGAACCTGTAAACAGAGGTTGAAGTTAGTGTTAGCAGGAAAATAATGTAGTTGTGCTTTTCTTTTCGGGCCTCTCTGGAGATGTATTTCTTGCCTCTAAGGAAGGATTGTTCTCCTTCCCCGAGTTTGACAGCTGTATATTTGAATGATGGTGGCTTTATGCTTTATATGACTGACATCGTTACACTACTTTTATAGCTTCTTTCTTGTCCAGGATTCACTGAGCCCTGCCGTTCATTGTTTAGGGGTGCCTCCTCTTCTTTCCGTACTTATACTGGTCGCTTTGATTTCAGTGGCATTGTGAAGGAATACTTGATAGGAGAATGACTTACTGCTGCTCCGATACAGAGCACAAAACAACTAGCAAGAAACACATCTCAGCCTTTGAAGTTAGCTTGTGATAGTTTCTCTTTTACCCTTTAACTCATTGCTGTTGCTTGATAAATAGCAAGTTCTAAATCGCTCCTATTAAAGTTAATGGGTCGTTGTTACAATAGAGAGAGATTTTTCACAATATGCATTTAACCCGGCAGTGGGTGTGAATGTGTCACCCTTCAGCCCTGTGGGTTTCCAGATTAACATTAAAACAATTTTGAGGGAAGTGGGCAGCAAGAGAGGTTTCTGGTTTTGCCACTGGGAGATCTTTGAGGAAAAACAGTAAGAAACAGAGTAAAGTGAACATTTTTCCTAAGGAAGCACCTGTGTTTTGAAATACCACTCGGACCAGTCCACCTATTTAATGAGATTAATTCAACTGCTCAAATAATATATAATTCTCTGTATGTGTATGTATGTGTGTATATATATGAATGTGTTATGTGTAAAATACTATAATCTTTTACATGTTAACAAAAAGTTACCATTTTAAAAATTAAGTTATTTGTATGAAAAATGCCTATATGGTGTTACATTCTTCATTTAGTAGAAGTGAATTATTTTAACAATACATTTAGCACAGTTTTAATAAGCATGTTATGGAACTAGTTATACTTTTATTGGCTTTCAAGAGACAATAAACAATTAGAACAATAAGCAGTTAGAAAAAAATAGACTTCGATTAATGAAAAGAACTTTGACAACTTTGTGAAAACAGCTTATGCTTAGTGGCATTTTTAAACAAATAACTCCTAGGAAAGAGTATTGAATATTAATACATACTAATGAAAACTCTTCAAAATCACGAACTGAATGTACCCCAAAGTATCTTCTGTCTTTTCACCTTCTAAAAATGATTCTTCAGGACATGCGAGATGTATGTTGCTAGGGAAGATGAAAAAGACAGCCTCACTACCTAACCTTGTGGGTTTTGTTCCCTTAACTTTAAGAATAAAAAGAACACTTTGTTCTTCTTTTTGAATGCCATGCTGACACTAGTGCAATAAACAAGCGTACAAAAGTAATTTTCTGTTTTGATGCCTATTTCAAAATTGTCAAGTTGACAATATAATAGATCTACCAAAAATGTAAATTGACTCTGAAAACCAGTATCAATCCAAGGACTGTCTAATGCTTGCATTGTCTAACTTGAGTTCCCTACTTTTTTTTTGTTTTGTCTATAGACACCCTATTTTTGGCCATCAAATTGTTGGGAGCCGGAAAACACAGACTATGGTCAGTGTAGAAATCTTTCCTATTTCTTTCGGGAATTATGTATTATATGAATGAACACATCATTGCAGTCTGTCTTGTTTAATCATCCCACTGTTAAAAACATAATTATATGTCATGTAACTCCAGTGCAAGAATTGCTGATATTGAAATGAATGTGGTGTTACCTTTTTCAAAGTTTATTAAAAGTTTATTAAAGTCAGACTGGGAGTTGATCTGAGGAAAATAAAAACCTCAAAACTCATCAAAACATACCTTGCCATTTACATGTTCTGTTTGCTCCAGGAAGTGTAATTATTTACAGTGACAAAGTCTCAGTGAAGCACAGGACACTTTATTGATGGTTGTGCAATAGTTATTCTCAGATTCAGACCCAAAGATGTGCCTAGTTTAGATTTCTTATTTCTGATATACATCAAGTGGAAAATTATCTATTATGGAAAATAATATGGTTCTAATTGGGCTATATTAGAAACACCTTGTTTATTTGCCTGTTTCTTGGGGTTTTATTCAGAAATTACACTTTGTAATCTCTGGTGTGTACTTAGACAGGAAAATCTGAAGATAATAGGTAATAAAGTATTACAAAATACTCTTTAAAAATTATAACCAAAATTGAGTGTCTCTGTACACCAAATAATGGCCTAATTTTTAAAGAAAATGGATTATCTGTGAGCAGTATCCTGTTCATTTTAATCCAGACTGTAAGCGCCTAGCTCATCTGAAAAGCATGTCTCTTATTTAGTATTTTCAAACTTTGAAAGTCTCTATTTACAGCTTTTTGGAAATTTAGGTGCATGTTCATTTGTAATATGGATTCAGTCTGAGTCCTTGGGAGCTGAAGACCACAGGGATGGATGATTCCAATAGATGCTTCCTTCCTTTCTGCAGCAGACACAGTTTGATTTCAAATACATTGCTAAATAAAACGATTTCAAGCTGAGACACCCAGCAGAACTGAGTGCCTTCAAGTTAGAGTTTGAAATCTGTGACAGTTTCCTCATCCTATAGAAGGAGAAAAAATGTTGATCTTTCTTTAAAATACTGAGATTTGAAGATGTCCAGCAAATAGTTATTGAAAGTAACAAAGGAGGAGTAATTCATACCACACCTGAGTGATTAGCCACTCCATATGAGGACATTAGTCACTGAAAGAGAAATGCTGGATTTACAACATATTACAATGTTTCTTCCTTTCCTTGAAACTGTTATTTGCTTTTCTCAAAGGGGCACTTCAGTATGGTCTCCTAATATGTTAAAGATCAGAAAGTAATTTACTGTGGTTTTGAGACATTGCATTGTTCAGCTGTAATGTGTATTACGTTACCAGGGGGATTTTAATAAATAAATATGATTAACAGGTCTGAACTTGAGATCAGGCTGAGAATGTTTCTATTACTATCCTTTAATCTAAATTAGTCAGAGCTGATCACTGGGTTGGGCAATGAGTTACATACCTTAGTCAGTAAATACAAGTCTTACATAATCTCTCCAGTTTTTGCATGCCAGAAATACAAAATTTAACTTGGGATCCATCACTTCATCATGCCTTTGTTGAACAGTAAACAAACTCATTTGAGAGCTTTTGAGATTTAAATACATGACCTGTAAAATATGTTCCAGGTGGTGAATTCAAGCTCTTCTGTTGCAGAGGGGTGAAGGAAGGGAAAGCCCCAACCCTGCCGTCTCATTACACGAGTCATGACCCAAAAGTGCCAGCCTCTAAGAAACCCACCTGCAGCTCCCCCATGCAACAGGGTCAGAGCATCGCACTAGGTCTACCTAAGGTGGCCATGTGTCACCAGTATTGACTAATGCTAGAGCATTCGCTGGAAAATAATTTTTAAAGACAAATATTCAATAGCGTTCTTATTAGGTTAGCATCTTCCCAGTCCCAGAAATTAACATTTGCCTTGTGGATTTTTCCCTGATACCTTTCTATGAATATAAAGAGAGGGAAGATAAGGGGAGAAATGAATACAGGTGCTTGCAAAAAGGTTCACATAACTATTGTAAACAGTGGTCATCAGAGGAATACAGAAAAATCAAACAGATAAAATTCAAGAATCTAAAGTAGGATTGAAACAATTTGAGGATATTAAAAGATAAATTCCACCTCAAATACACTCACAAGAGGTTCTACAGATTTTCACAGTAGTTCTGTTACTTCCTAGAAAATATTGTAAATAGAATTTATGTTATTACAGATATGCAAATGCATTTTGCAGCTGTCCTGTATTATGGTGCTGTGCAGTGCTTCCATTTTCATGAACTTGTCCTGAACAAGCTTGAAACTGTGCCTCCTAAAATTAATGACTGTGGCAGGCATTAGGAGTCTCTCAAGGCCAGCAAGAAGTAGGCTTTCTCTGTAATCTGCTTTTATCAACGTTAATAACAAAGCAAACCACTTTCTTTGGCATTGACCTAATTTTACAAGCCTTTGAAAACCCACTACAATTTTATTTTAATTTTAAAATTACTCCCAACCATTTACCATTACTCACCCATAGCTGGGCTACTGTCCAGAATGTTGCATACTGCCAGAAAAATAATTAATCTTAAACTAGAAATTAAATGAAATACTGCATGTGTTAGTTTAGTACCAGAGCTAACCCAGAAACAAATAATCTTTACATCTTTGTATAATATGTTAATATCTCCTCTAAAATATAATTTTGTGTTCTGTATCAGCTTGTAATACCAAATATTTTCATTAAAAAGGTTTATCTGAAGAAAATGTGAAGAAAAATTAAATGAAAACTCTTCCAAAATGTCAAGAAACTGCAGACCCGTTCTCATAATAAAGCTATAGCACAATGCTAGGTCTTGATGGCAAAAAGAGAGCTTGGATTAATTTATTGTATGTCAAAGTGGAATCATGTAGCCTTCGGTTTTGATTGTAACTATCAAAATATTGACCATCTGATCATTCTGAGGTTACTAAGAAACTGTTACTTTTCACAAAGTGCTGAAAATCTCCTTCCCTTTTTCTTAAAAATTATGCTATAAGAGATCTCAAGAGAGATGCCTCAAATTGTGTGAATGTATGTGTCTACATACATTCACATGAAACGTGACCAGTAGGTTGAGGGAGGTGATCCTGCCCCTCTACTCTGCTGTCGTGAGACCCCACCTGGAGTACTGCATCCAGCTCTGGGGCCCCAGTACAGGAGAGACATGGAGCTGTTGGAGTGATCGGAGGGCTGGAGCACCTCTCCTGTGAGGACAGGCTGAGAGAGCTGGGATTGTTCAGCCTGGAGAAAAGGCGGCTCTGGGGAGATCTAATTGCGGCTTACCAGGACCTGAAGGGGCCTACAGGAAAGATGGTGAGGGACTGTTTATCAGGGCGTGTAGTAACAGGACAAGGGGTAATGGGTTTAAGCTGAAGGAGGGTCGATTTAGATGTTAGAAAGAAATTCTTCCCTGTGAGGGTGGTGAGGCACTGGAACAGGTTGCCCAGAGAAGTTGTGGATGCCCCATCCCTGGCAGTGTTCAAGGCCAGGTTGGATGGGGCTTTGGGCAATGTGGTCTAGTGGAGGGTGTCCCTGCCTGCAGCTGGGGGGTTGGAACTAGAGGATCTTTAAGGTTCCTTCCAATGCAAACCATCCTATCATTCTATGAAATTGCAAATAATTTTTAAAAAGGTAGGTTCTTAGGTTCCATCTGTTGAAGATACCTGTTTTAATGCCATGTCTCTTGGAGTCCACCCATGCAGAATGTGTTGATCTGTGTAGAATTCCATTGGTTTCAGTGGGATTTTATTAATGAAAAGAAGTATGCATATTAATAATAACAATTTGTAATTTTTTTTTAAGGCCAATGTAGTTCAAATCACTTTGTATTTCCTGTGAGTTAAGTCATGTACCTGGATTATGATTTGGTTTTGTGACAAACAGAATTGGATCTCAGTGCAGAAAACTGGCTCTGGAAATGATCACAGCTAATGACTGAGCATGCAACCTACCTATAATCATCTTCTCTTTTCTTAGAGATGTGATTTTATAACTGACAGAATTTTTTTCTGGCAAATTAAAAGCAGTTCATCATTCTATGATTCTATGTCATTAAGAATTAATTAAATATGGAGACTTGTTAAGTCCATTGCATTTCAGGAAGGGGAAGTATAATGCTCCATATTAAATTGTTATTCCACATGCATTTGGCCTCAGTTCTCACGGGACCCGTCAGATTCTTTTGGAGGTTTAGTGACTCACAGCTGTTGCAAATTTGAGGAATTCAATTCCTTACTGTTCTCTTTTTTGAACAAGATAAATAAGAAATATGAAAGGTTAAGGAAAAATTCCATTCACAACAAAATAGCAATTATTTTTTGTTTGAAAAGCTCAAGCCTAAGCCCAAGCAAACAAATGAACATAGTTGTGACAATGTAAGAGGCTTATAAGAATTTCAGTCATTTAAGATATGAAGAAGAATTAGTAGCTTTTACTTATTTTCTGTAGTGCACTTTTGTTGATGGTTAGACTCAAAAGTGGCCATGACATACAGAGCTTTTCTTACGGTTAACTGCATATTAAAAAAAGAATTGTGCTCAAAGAAGAGACAGAGTAAAATTTTGAAAGTGCCACAGTCAGTTATAGTGTTAAGGAGGTTTGGACTAGAAGACAAGTGTCAGTTGCATCTGTATAGATGCAAGAGGATGCTATTTCAGCCTTGTCATTTTATGTGTGTGTGTTTCTCCCAAATGAGTTAAAAATGGAGGAGGATTGCAGAATCTTGGTTATGGAGAATGCCGTAAATAACTGATAATGCAACATGAGTTTAAGAGCACATGACCGTGTGATCTGCAAATCATGCTAAATGAGACTATTTTTCTATATATTCAAGGCAAATTCTTAAATTCTGCTGCTGTGGAGAAGGGCAGGTTTTGAAAATGTACGTATTTCCAGTAGCCTTCCAGGTAAGGTCATGTGCTGTAAAGGCAGTCTTCCAGGAAATTAGAGCACTTACAGGAAGAAAAAAAACCCCAACAAACAAAAACCCAT